TTCTGAATAGAGCAGTCATTGAAATGGAATTTTCCATAATTTTTGCACAAAGATGCTTTTGTAATGTTTAATATATCCCTTTTTTTTCTTTAGAAATTCGTTGCAGGTGTTTTGTGAAAGAGGTGTGAGTTGATGATTTATCATGTCATTTAGCCTACTAGTTTAAAAAGGTTAACATAGCCTATAGTATAGTGTATAGACAGTCATTGTTTTTTTTTGTGTGTTTGTATGTGTGCATGTGTGAATATATGAAACGTACATACATAAGCCTAGCCTATATGTCTCCCTTTATTTGTAGGGTACTTTTTATAATAATGTTTTAGTGCTGCCCAATACAGAAGAGATGCTAGTATGTGTCGAAAATACTCATACATTCGTGTCATACTTGTTGCAAATGGAATTAAAAGTAAATATGTGGGGGAACAATGTTCAGCTGATCTAACAGAGATTACAAAATACAGCGCTCTAACAAAACACTCACAGCTGATGCAGCTGTTGCCACGTCATAATTAACGGACGTCGCTTTAATATGACCGCGCAGAGGAGAGGAGTTCTCATTTCTCTAACCGCCTGCTGCTTCCCCTCCTCTCTCCTCGGTTCCCCTCCTCGGCTCGCATCTCCTGTGGGCGGGACTAAGTATCGAGGATAGGAGTCGAGGAGGGGAGTCGAGGAGGGGAGTTAGAGAAATGAGAAAGGGCCCTGATCAACGGTTTAACAAAAGATCTTTATTAAAGCAAGTGGTTCAAATTAGCCAAATTAATTAAGTGCAAAACAAGTAAAACAATGTTCCGTAATTAAGGAGAAATGTACACAAATAGACATGGTGTAATACAATTAATATTGCTAGTGTTTTCCCACTTGTCTATCATCACACAACTGAAGGACATGTAAGAAAAACATTAATTTGTAGTGAAATGGTTAAGGTCAGAGAGATTGGTTTCTGACAGATGTTCATATAAAGACATTTGCAATTTCATAATTTCAGAGATTTCTGTGAAAAGGAACATTTAAAAAGCCACTGAGGAACAGACTTTTCACTATTATAAAACACAGGAAACAGCCAGTAACATCTCCCCATCCCCCTATTTACATGGCAGACCCTGTTAGATAGCTTCACCATATGTTGCCTAGCATTTAATTTGTCATATACATAATATAAGTCAACATACATTTAAATAAATATAAAAATATATTGAGTGAAGTTTGTCTTTGTCTTCAACATTGAGCAAATATGGCAAGTAAGCATTCTAAGTAGCGCAGAAAGAGACATAAAAATGACTATTTTCCTAAACAGGGGAGCAATGTATTTTTTCCCCCTTGCAGTTTTTATTATGGATGGCGCTATCACATGTTACCTAGCAAATAAAGCTGGGGGGCCAATGGGCTCTTCCTGCCCTCCGCACCCTTGCTCAGACCAGACCCATCTGCCAACCTTTATTTTACAACTACAAGCACATATTACATTTGTAAAACGTTGTAACTTATTAAAAAGGTCCCATGTCATGCTTTTCTGGTTATTACCCGTCCCCTTGTGTGTTATGTAGCTTTTAATGCATATAAACGGTCTGCAGTCACAAACCCTCCTCAAAGTACACCCTGTAGCGAGTAAAACTCTAACACAGAAAATTGCACAATATAAATGTATTTTAGTATACCTCAACAATGGAATTATGATCAGTAGCAATGGCCATGACATGGGACCTTTAACTAACTGTGGTTTTTTTAAGTGTATTTGCCGTTGGTTATTTAAGATTCTTTAATACTGCATTATTACGTTTTTTAAATAAAATAATGATTTTTAGGTGGATGTAACTTTATTACCTACAGTGGTTTTGTGATCACTGGATTTCAACACATCTGACATCCATTCAGCTCCAGCTAATTGAAGTATCAGCCTAAGCATCCCAACTAAATAAAGTGATTCTGGGACTGGTTTCCCGTGAGTGTTTGTATTCATAAAACAAGGTATTTATATTTTTGGTAAAAAAAACATTTATTTTTACTATGTACACTACATTCTTTGATGGAATAACAATAATACAGGGACCAAATAATAAAAGGCAGTCATTCTTGCCAAGCAGGTTTGAGAAATACATTTATGAAATCAGCTCATTGTCTATCATTTAAACTGGAATATCTTTACAAGTAAAGATTCTTGTAAAAAGTTTAGAATCTGAAAACACCAAAGTATGCACGCAAATTTGACCTTCCCCCGCCCTGTCATGTTAACAGTGACGAATGCTGAACATTTGAGTTTTTCATCTAATACAAACTGGTGGTGATTGAAGTCAGACGTCTTCATCGTAGACCAACTTGACGAACACCTTGTCTTCAAGCGCCTCGTTCTGTCTGTAGACATACATGGGCGTGTTGACTGCCGACGGGCTGGTTTCCCCTCCCTCCTGCTCCTCACTCCTATCAGCATCCTCCTCTGAGATAAGGTCAGCGTAGGAGGACACGCAGAGGTCATGCTCCTGGAGAGACGCCGGGTATCGGAGGGAGGATCTTTCGATTCGCACCGAGCGTCTGACTGGAGTGAAGAAGCGAACCTCCTGGCCATTCACCCTCACCGGTTCCTTCTGTTGGCTCGGAGGGCCACTGAGGAAAATAACAACATAATCCTGAATTTCAGTGCATTTGACATTGACAATGAAATAGGTGCGTTTCATTGTAACGTTTTTTTAATTTACAGGGACTGCTTAAACAACCAAGCAGCTTCGAAACATCAGATTTTAAAACAAAAAGAGGTTTACAAAACATCAAACACCATTAAAGATTTTTGGAGTTTTAGATAGGTAAGTACTTTATTGATCCCAATGTGGGAAATGTTTGCGCTGCCGCAGCATAAGGAACAAGGCAATGTACATAAGAGAAATGAAGACACTAGAAATAAACAATCCAAAATACTTCTGAAGTAGAAATAAAATAGCATTAAAAAAAAATATTATTATTATTATTATTATGTGAATGAGTTTAGATCTGAGTTATAAAAGGAAGATTTGGACCGAAAATCAGAGTCTTTCTGGTCAATATTTGTGCAATACTTCTGAATAGAGCAGTCATTGAAATGGAATTTTCCATAATTTTTGCACAAAGATGCTTTTGTAATGTTTAATATATCCCTTTTTTTTCTTTTTTTAAATATTTACCCATTTGTATATCAATAGATTATGACTGAGGCTGTGAGACTCATAGTAATGTTTTGAAGGAACTTGATAAATGATTTGCTATTCTCAAGTTTCATTGCT